TGGGAAAATTCGTACGCGCGGAAATCTCGCGGGAATCCCGCGAACTTGGATTTCAGAGCAGAGCTCTCCGAATGCTTCGCCATTGTCGTGCGTCCTACACCGCGAGCATTGTTTCTTTGTTTACCATCTTTATATTGTCCATCGAGCGAAGAAGCCCTCGACATTCGCGGGCAGATAGTTCCTGGCACGGGGAAGCGGAACGCGGCGACGGCTTGAACTTGGTAATCAAATGAAGTATAAGCTTCGAAGAAGGCTTAGAAATTCATAAATCCTACGCCTGCCTGGAATCAAGTGGAACGTTAAGGGGTTCAAAGTCGAGGATCTAGCGTGTCGGGCAGCTCGAATCAACCTCCGCCTCGATGGAGTCGCGTTGCCATAGGCCGGCACAGGTATCACGTTACCTAGGTGCACCGGCCTCGGTGTTAAGACACCTAATTGCACGTTATGTTCGACGCGCACGTACGCGCGCGGCACGCAAACGCGCGCCCGTCCCTTGCCGAATGCTAACGCGCCGGCAATAGTAAACACGTGGAAGAACTATGGAAATAAACATACAAGATGGAGGAACGAGAGATGATGCGATGACGGTCCAGGTCCCTTCTTCATTCTACTTATTGGTCGATTAAGCGTGTGATTACAGGTTCGATCGATCCGATCGAACAGGAATACGGTCCAACTGTTCCTCGGACTCTCGTAGACCCTACAGATCGCACTGAAACAGATGGAACCGAGGAAGCGAGACGACGGAGGAGAAACGTAGAAGATAATCGATCGCTGGGAAATGTGTGCAGAGCCGTTTGGAAACGATCTTAATTAAATCTATGACGTTCGGAAGCACGTGGTTAGTGTGTCACGCGAGAGAGACCGACGGTTTGCATGCGCCAACCTAATATTAATGTTCTCCAGATGACCGGCAAGAGAGACGGGAAAGTGGGTGAACCCGGTCTGCGGTGACGGACCGGTGTATTCGTGTTTCCCTTATCTTCATCGTTCTTGTTGTTGTCATTGTCGTCCGCCGGCTCTCTCCTTTCCCAAGTGGCCTCCGCGGACGGAGGCGGATTTGAACGTCCGCGGAACGTCCAATTGCATTACGAATCGTCTCTCGTCTCTCTAAAGAGGGCTTAACGGCATAGAATAACTCAAGATTACGAACTTCAAACCATCGATCTCCCGTAGACTTTCCGTCTTTTTACCCCGGACAGCCGTTTCTCTGGGCTCCCCGTAAACCGCAGGTGGAGGCTCGCTTTTGGCGAACCGTTCCGTGGTCATCGTTGGAAAAGTTATACGGGGAAAGGCGACACGGAAGCCACGGCTCTACCAAGTTCACCGCGAGGAGGATCGACACGCGAGGTTGCACGGTATAAATCCAGCCGCGATCGATGTCCTCTTGGTAACGAGACCCGTGGACATTCCGTTTTGTCGAATGGAGGACATCCTGGATTAAAAACCCCGTCGAGGACTATTCTAACGCCGGCAGAATTTTGGCGTCCAAGACGATGTTCGCGTGTCGATGAACCCGAGAGGTGACGCCGACGGTGGGATCTGGAAGTTCCAATCGAAGTTACAGATACCAAAGTCTAAAGTTCGACGGTGTAAAGCGACCCGGACGGTCTTCTTTTCGCGCGAAAGTGATCGCTTATCGCGACACTTGAGAAGATCCTAAGAAAATCGGTGTGCTGTGCCAGTAGTAGGTTCGATCGATATCGGTGTTTCCCCGAACAAGAAAAAAGAAGAGAGCAGCTTTCGCGGGGACGAGCCGCATTGCGGAACGGTACGGGGAACTGCTATCGGGGCCACGGTTAGGATACGAGAGAATAGAATATGATAGGACAGGCGCAATCAAGCGCCGAGACACAACGATAGAAACTGTACGATCGTTTGCTTCTGCGAGAAGTAACGACCCCGTTCAAGGCCGACTTATGTACTGGGTTACGCGGGCCAAGGTCGACACGATTACGTGTACACATGTCAAACGATGCTTTTTTCAACCAACCTCCGTTGTCTCGATTTACGTCGCCGAGCTGCGATAACCTTATAAATCGGGACGCGTAAAGCAACTGTCCGCGTTGTCTTATTTTCCACCGACTGCTAAATAGAACGGATCACGAAACCTGCCTCTCAATCGTCTCTGAAACATGTTGCCAAAGTACGGTGTATAAAAGTGTCCCATGGAAACGAACGGATTTAGTCGGTGGAATCGAAACTAGGAAATTAGAATCGACTTCCTAGAAATTCCAATAGCGATCTATCCTTTTTCTTGCTTCTTATCCGAGCAAATTGGTCTTTTACTCATAATTTCTGTAACAATTAGGTGAGCTCGAAGAAACCTTTGTTCCGGTTGCCCTCCCCCCTTCCGTAAGAATGAAATTCAAAGATTGCAGTTCTCCAAAATTGCTCGAGCTTCCTTAGGAGACCTATCGTAAAACATAATGTGTGCGATGTAGAACATAACTATGAGAAATGGTATGCTTCGAAAGGGAGAAGCAGTCATTGTAGAACACAATGTGGGATAAAAATTCGCACAGGGATATCGGCTAAAGTCTACAGCAGGTAGAATTGTGTAATTGAATGTAAGTTGAATAGACAGATTGCGAAACTCACTTTTACGTCGAAAGCGTCGGTGGGCATCCGCTGTACGCCGTTCATCTTCGATGGAACTGTCACTCCCGCGAATCTTGTCACTTATTTTTCACAGCCTTTTCTCCGTCCCGCCGCCGGTCGCTCGGTTCCCGACAGGCCTCGGACGCGGGGGTGGCACGCGGGAGACCCCGAGCACGTCCCACGGACACGTGAAAATCGTTTGATAAACCGGGCCCCGAGAGCAGCTAGGAGCCGCTTCGACGCATCCTCGTCCACGTCCGCGCGACAACTGGAAACGACTCGCGTGCGTCTTTCGATCCCTCGAATTCGATCGGGAGGTCGTGCACGTGTTCGCACCTTGCCCCCAGCTCCGAACGATCGAACTTCGATCTCATTCGACCCGACCAAAACACCATAAAACAATCCGAGTGTTATTGGGGCTGCCTGTCAGCCAGAGAGATTTTCCGGGCCTGGAAAAGCAATCACAACACGTGGCGGGATTAACGATCTCGTCAGGTGTTTACGGTAGTGTTCGGGGACCTCCGGTGGTCCTACCCTTCAGCAGATTATCGCATCTGTTGCTCCGTTCAACGGTTCAGAAATATTAGCAGTAACCCCTTGACATAAACAAATACGCGTCGAATACGTCTTGTGTTTCCAATGCCACTCTACACATTGACATAAAATACGGTCTAATATTATTGGCGAATATCGGCCGCAACAGGTCAGCAATTATCCCACCAACAAGCCCTTTTAGAATTTGTATGATTGCACGATTTCAAGTATGTCAAGTGGTCAAAAGGGCTAAACAGTCTGTCTATCGGATCCGTGCGTGTCATCGAACTTATTCTAAACGGCTGATGAAATTCGGAAGAAGAAACACAAAGGTCTCGCCCGAGATCTTACAGTATGGTCGAGCATCGAATCCCGCGATCGCGCCGAAAGCACCGGAACGAATCGTAGAAGCCGCGCGAGGCCGCGAGATAATGATACGGCACCGAGGCGAGGTTCGTCAAGGTTCCCGATCCTTGATCGATCGCGAACGATCTCAAGGTCCTTTCGGGCACTGATTATCGATTCCCGAGCGAGCGAGCTTGAATTCGATACGCCGTGGATCCGGTGGCATCGCGTCGACGACGACATACGAGAACCAACTAACGTTCACTGGCACTCGGCGGGCATGCACGCGCGCAACCGCTTCGTGGAGAACCACGCTTCTGCGATAACAGATTTGAACACTATGTTTCGCGCTTGCGCTCACGCTGCCACCCCGAAACACGTGGTATCCTTCATAGTACCTGCCCCTTCTCCTGACCCACAGATCCTGACTGATTCGTTCGCGATACAAGCTGATCCTGCCAGCGAGTAGTATACGGTAGATTCCGGTTATTCTGGACACTTCGGGACTAGCGTTATTTGGTTTGTATTTGTCCTAATTAACCAAAGAGGGCCGGGATCGTTCGACCAAACCCTGCTCTTTAATCTTGCTCCAAATAAGCGGAATCGATTGGGGCTCGTATATACGCATCGTATGCCCCTTCGCTGTGGAGCATGCATTACAAAGCTTTTACAATGTTTATAACAATAGTACTACTGTACGTGGTACAGTCGGTGATGCAAGACCGCTCGAATCAGAGATATTCAGCCCTCGCGGGCCACCGGTTCGCGCGGATAGATTTCCATGCGAGACGGATGCTAGAAAGGACTCCGGGGACCGAAAGATACCACGGGCAGATACCGCGGCAGCCAGCTACTCGAAAACCCGACGTGTTCCATGTCCGAGGGGGAGTAGAAACAGGTTTAAGAGCGTAGTTGACCGCGTCGCCTTTTAAATCGGTCATCCGTCTAACCGGGTAGAAATCACGGGTCGATTCGAAATCAGAGGCACTCTCTGAGGCAGCGTCGGGGGACGGTTGATGAAGCCTCACCGGTGAGCAAGCGTGTGCGCCGAGTGATCAACCGTGGAACCGGTAAATTGAAACGGGCCAACTAATTACCGGTAGGCGGACGAGGCTCGAGCTAGGATCCCGCGACACCGTCGGACCAGGTGGACACGTTGCACTCGCGACTCGTGGCAGATAATAGGTCGCGGATTGGCACATGGCAAGCATGTCCACGCCGCAGGATTCTACGTTAGCAGCCGGCGTTCGGGCGCTCCGCGTCGCGACTGCCGCCGCCGCTAAAAAACCATACGATGACCTCATCACACCAACTCTGTTCTCCTGCCCATGTCACCGCTACTAGCCGGCCAGAAAACATCGTTACCTGCCATCGACTCCTGGAGCTAGGCCATTCGTGACGTCCGCCGCTCCTCCGAGCCTCTATTTTAACAATAACAATGATAAAAGAATGGTAACGACATGAACAAGGAGAAAGTAACGACTAGACAGCGGATTCTCATGCAAATATACAGTTCCAAAGACTTTACCAATTAGTTTTAATTCGTTGCAATAGAGGTAGAAATCTTAAAAGACTTTTTTTAAATATTTTTCTAGGTCCATGTTTGAAGGATTAGGATAGTTTTAAATGCATGGAATTCGTAGGCTAGGAGTAAGTTTGAACACTTGCAGCATTGTCAGGGACTTTCTAAATGAGCGGCGGTTTTTATGGGACTTGACTGAGCAGCGGGTTTGTACTCATTAGAGATGAGGATTGTAGGGGACTCCTGAAAGAAAAATAAACTATGTTAATAATACTAAAAATGCATTCCTATTCCACAGTTTGCTTCGAAAGTATAGAAACTATTATTAATAATAAAATAATAGAAATACGTATATTACTACAAAATAAGTATTCTATGTACTTATTGTATCTTAAATATTTCAATTTTAATTATTAATTATTTACTTCAAATATTTTCTAAATTTTCTATAAAATAATAAATAAAAATCTATTCTTACTAAATCTAATCCTAATAATTATGACTTAGTTGTATAGTTGCTGCCGCTGCAATACCCGGTTCTTACATACTCGAAATAATTTTTAAATCTACAAAAGACAGAAAATAAAAAGCTATATATGGTTAGTGTCATTAATACTACTTCAATAATTAAAAATGGGATACTTTAACGATGATACAGGTCATTATAGATGAGCGCAGTGGAATCCTCCTTGGCAAACAGATCAACTGGGTCTCCAATTTTCTAAGTCAGTCAGAAAATCAATACTGTCAGTGAATGGAAGATGTCCTATATGATTTAATTAAAAAATTTATAAACTTCGAACTCCGTTCGAAACTATAAGAAACCGTACCTGACTGGGGCCAAAGAGAGAAATGAGAATAATGGCGGATTTGTGGCGACGATTTGAAAAATGCGCGCCTCTTGCACCGCATCTGTATGCATTTGCAACGTTGTAATACATAAATTTCCACAGTCAAAGATGAATTCTTCTTAAATCTACAGAGTTTAAATATTCACAAAACATGTGTACGCAACAGTATTTATATTAATATTATATTATTCATACTTATGTTGCGATTAAAATACAATACCAAAATTCTAACCATGAAAATGGCTTCGAAACCGGTAAATTTTAAATACTGAAATATTATTACCTATCCTTATTAACAATTTGTTATCTCATAGAAAGACCGTGTTCAGGTATTAATGTAGATGTTTATTTATTAATTTATTTAAATTAATCGGTGTTTCTACTCCAATTACTTCATCAACACGGGACCATTACGTTGCGCAAGTATGTACATTAATGAATCCTACTCCTGCATACCTCAAGGCCACAGCTTGATCCGTTAGCGAGAGTCGGTATAGAAATTTTCTTTGCTCTGATTGGCTAGCAATGCACTGCTCAGACAGTATCCATTGCGGATTGGATGTGCAGTAAAATGATGGGGTTGTGCGCACCAGCTTAGGGAGTAAGAAAAGCGTGCAGGAATAGGTCCCGTTACTGTGTGTATATTCGACTAAAGTTGACTGAAGTCTGAAACAGCTGAACAGTGAACAGTATGGAGACACACATGTGACAGTTATCATATGCTAAAAGAGAGTTTGTAACAGTAATTTACAAGAGCCATTACATTGGAGATGTATAATTGAATACAAAAGCAACGTCTTTAGTGACAGCTCATCGAACTTTTCTATTATTGACACTTATCAAAAAACAATTAACAATGGCTTCTGAAAAGAACCATTCTGTTAATTCGAACCATACACTTCCAACGAACGTGAAGATCAAAGTTGAACCAGGAACGTCAATGCCTGCTCCCATAAGAAACATTAAGATTGAACCCGGTCTGTCGACGTCTACCACTAGACTGACATCGTTCCGTTTGCCGAGAGACCTAACCTTAGGAGGCAACATAAAAACAGAAAAATCTAAAAAAGTGTACACACCAAATTTAAATGCTCAGAGAACAAAAAAGAAAGAGTAAGTTATAAAATTAAGAAATCAAGCTATCATTATAATAATTAAATAAATGTCTATGATTTCATAGTGATGCCGGACCAGGTGATTCTGCGAAACCAGGGAGGGTTAGAGATAGTGTTCGAGGACGTGGTAGAGGTGGCAGAAATGATAGAGGACGTGGGAGAGCTAGCAACTTGATACAAGTATATTAAAAGATTATGTTTAATAAATATATATATATATGTATTGTGTTCTATGTATGTTTTACTGTTTTAGTCTAGTGGTATTTGGTCTACTGGAATAAATAGCACACCGGGTAAACGTAGTAGTGGTGGCGGTGGTGGTGGAGGCTATGGAGACAGTGACAGAAGCTCTCAAATAGCCTTAGAAAAACCAAAATTAGATCTAAATCGTACTGTTGACAAAGCTGAGGAAGAAGAAAAATTGAAATTGTTATTGAGAGATGATTTTATTGATTCCGGAGAACCTGAAGATATTGATAATGGACCTATTACCTTGCCAATGCTCAAAGGTATATTTTCTTATTAATATGAAGAGTAACTCCAGTAGGATACATCATCTTCTAATTACAGCAAAGCTACAGAAAGTAGAAATTAAACAGGAGATTGGGCTTGGGGAAGAAGAAGTAAATACAAAACCGATTATATCAGAGAATGGAGAAGGTAAGTATGCTCTTATTTTCACTCAGAATAATACTACATCACTACTACTTTTAGTGTTACCAGTTAAAAAGGAAGTTAAAATCAAGATCCCTAAACCGGAAGTAAAACCGGAAGAGGAGTTGGATAATATTTCGCAGATGATCGACAACAAGACGAATTCGTACATTCTAATACAGGTTGATATATGGTTATATGAAATTAATCATATTTGATCTTAGAATTGCGATTATGATAAACAATCTGTAGTTTCCAGATTGTTTACCTGGTTTTGTTGGAAGCGCTGAAGACACTAGATCTACTCGTCCAAATGCATCAAATCAAGAAAAAGAAAATGGAACTACTTCGGACACAGACTTTTGTACTTTGAATAGCTTGAAGCCTGGTATTTTAGGAAAATTACAAATTTTAAAGTCAGGAAAGACACGATTAGTGTTGGGGGAGAACAATCTGATTGTAGACTTGGGATCGCGGGTTAGCTTTCGACAGGTACGTTTTTTAAAATAATATAAACACAATTTTTACAGTCCCTGCAATTATACTTTTTTTCAGGATCTGATCGCTGCGAAAGTAGACACCGAAAAGTTAACTGGTGATTTAATAAATCTTGGGCCAGTTAGTAACACGCTTGTATGTTCCCCTGATTGGGAATCTATGTTGGCTTAGGTGTAAATATATTTTTCTTATAAAAAATCGTATGACATGAGTAGATTCATTCATACATTTAAAATATAGCACTCCTGAAAAGTTTGTTATAATAGTACCCTCCGTAAAATAAAGGTCGCGACAACAGTTTCCTGCAAGATACAACAATTTTCTTTAAGACGTAATTTATTCTTTTTTTGTTTTAATATAGATAAGTTGATTAAAACTTATTTTTACACAAATTAGATTTACTAACTAAATCCATCGCACTATACAATGAACAATAATTCACAAAAATTAACTTCTGAACTAACGCTGATACCTTCTTACTCGGTCGTATCAACGTCTTGAAAAATGTAAAAATCGTACATTAAAGTGGCACAAGAAATTACTGTCCCTATTACAATAAGATATATTATACTATTTCCACTTCGCTAAATCAAAAAAAGAACAACTTGTTACGATTCTCTTTGTAATCGTAAGTTTCGTAAAAATTAGGACTTTCTCAAATGAACTTTCAAGGATGTCAAATCTCGTTTTGCATAAGAGAATATTGTGGTATGATAAAGTCCTATTATCGTTAAAAATGAACGAAAACGCATTGGTGATACAGTTAGTGCAAGTGCATTGCATTACAGAGGTATACACACATTACACACGCCTCTTAATAAATCATGCGATCTCTCAATCACTTCTCTCTATACTATGTCCCTTTTTCATCGACTTTAATGCCTTTTCTCGTAATTTTTTCTCCAGTTCCTCAGTATTTCCTTCACTTACATCAGATTCATCAGAGTCCGCAACCTTCTTCTTTTTGTGTTTTCGGTGTTTTTTATGTTTTTTGTGTTTCTTATGCTTTTTATCCTTCTTCTTTTTTTTCTCCTCAACCTCACTCTCCTGAAAGCAGAAATTATAACAGATAAATAATTTTTTCCAAAATACAAATAATTAGAAAAATTATACGCTACCTCCGATTCACTAGTACTGGTTTTAGTCTTCTTTTTACGTTTCTTCTTCACTTTTTCTTCATCCGAACTATCATCGGCTTTCCTCTTCTTTTTCGTATCCTTTTCTCCCGTTTCCTCATCATCTGTACTTGAATCACGTTTCGATTTTTTTGGGCGGACTTTTCCTTCGTCTTCACTTGTCGAGTCTTTTCTTGATTTACGTGATCTGGATTTTTCATCCTCTGAGGAACTATCTCTCCTCTTTCGAGTCTTTTTTGGCTCGTCGTCCGAACTAGAATCTTTCTTAGATTTCCGCAACCGGGACCTATCGTCATCGCTCTTGCCCCTCTTTGTTTTTTGATCTTCATCACCCGAAGACGAATCTTTTCTTGATCTCTTTGATTTCTTGGTTTCCTCTTCCGTCTCTTTCTTTGATCGTTTACGTGGCTCGTTTTCATTAGTATCACGCTTCCTGCTATCCTTCTTGTCCTTGGCACGTTCGTCCAATGAATCTGAGAAATAAAATTATATTATAAACTTTGCAATTCGTTTTATCGAATTTGCAAATCGAAACTTTACCTCCACGATTCGTATCTCTAATCTTCTTACTCTTCTCCACGTGTTTTCTCTCCTCCTCAGAGTCTGAACTAGAACCGCCTTTATCAGATTTCTCATCGTCCGAAGATGCTTTCCTAGATTTCCTAGATTTTTCCAACTTCCTTGTCTTTTTCTTACCTGTGATATAAACAAAAAAAACATCAGACTTCTGTAAAGCGGTACTTTGAAATGATTAAAACACATATATCTACCTTCACTTTCGCTATCGTTTGAATCAGTAGAGCCGTCACGTTTTTCTCTTTTCGATTTCTTGACCACTTCCGTGGGTTTCTTTATGAGGGCAGGCTCTATTGTCTTTTGACCTGACTTCTTCTCATCTGCCACCGCTTTGATCGACTTTATCGATTTATCGTCCTTCTTCAAAGGGAAGGCATCCCCGGAGGTGAAGCTCGATTCTTCTTTTGGTGATTCTTCTTTGTGATCTTCTCTGTAAATACCAATTAATGAGATGGTTGTTTGCAATTCTTTTATAATTGTCTTGACTTGATGACTGGAAGACACACTTACTTCGAAGGTTGTTTAACTTTAACTGCAGCTATAATATCTTCAGTCTTTTTAAACGGCGAGGGCGTGCGAGATAAACTCTTCGAAAACTGGAAACATTGTAGAGATTAGAAATGTGAAAAGTTGAAATATTTTCTTGAAGTAAAATCGAGCAAAAACAATCGACTTACTCTGTGCCTGGTAACAGGGAGAGTGGTAGGTTGAAGTTTCTTTGGAGAAACGCTGGGGTCTGGTTTCTTGATGGATGTGGGTTCCGCTTTCTTCATGTCTTTCTCAGGTCGTTTGATCGGTTCTTCTTTGACGTTCTTCTCTTTTTCTTTACGTTTGTCATCGGTGTGCTCCCGTTTCTCTTGAGAGGATTTCCGCTCAAGCGATTTTCTGCGCACAGATAAAGAGATAGATTGGTCAGCAGATGTCAGTACTTTTGTTCTACAGCTAAGCGGGAAACAGAACATAGCTGTGTTACGCTCCGACAATCGTAAGGTCTGTAACAAAATGTGAAAATACGGAGTAACCAGCTTCACTCACCTGATCGCTTCATCCTCATTGCTAGAGGAACTACTTTCGCTACTATCCGAGCTACTCGACTTAGACCTTCCGTTTCGCAATTCTTTTCGCGATTCCGTATCTGTTGATTTTTTAACTTTTTCGTCCACCTTCTTCTCCTTCGGCTTCTCCTTAGCGTCCCGTGAACGATCGGGAGATCGTTTTTCGTCTCTTGAACGATCCACCGACGAACGGTGATCTTTCGATCTAGATCTACGGTCCCTAGATCTAGATCTTCGATCTTTATCCCTCCTGTCCCTGTCTCTGGAACGGTCTCGCCTACTCGATCTGTCGCGCGAGGAAGATCTATCGTACCTGAGGGATCGATCCCGGCCGTCCGGCGAGCGACGCCTGCTGTCACGACGATCCGGAGATCGACGCCTGTCTCGCCTCTCCGACGATCGACGCCTACGGTCCAGGGATCTTCTCCTGCGTCTATCACCAGGGCTAGGCGATCTTCGTCGATATCTTGCCGGACTTCGACGCGGAGGGCTTTTGGTTAAATTGCAATGTATTAATGATACTTGATCTTTACTTAGAAATTACACTTTTGTCTATGGTCTACGTTACCTCCTCCTGCTAGGTGCTCTGCGCACAGATGGAGGCCGCATGCTACGGCTACCGCTGTATCTGTCCAGCCTTTCTCGCTCCCTTTCACGTTCCCGTTCACGTCTTCTTTCGCGTTCCCTGTCGATAGATCTCCTGAATTAAAATTATCTGCTGGTTAGTATACTTGAAGCCTTTAAAGGTACAAAATATTGTAATACATAAATTGCATTACTCACCTCCTGTTCCTGTCTCGAGACCTGTCGCGCGATCTGTCTCGCGATCTATCCCGCGATCTGTCCCTTGATCTGTCTCTATCCTTGGATCGACCTCTGTCTTTCCTCGGCGTGGGACTCCGTCGTTTAGGCACAGACTTCCGTTCCCGACTCGAGTCACTCTCGCTACCACTGTCATCCTTATTTGTCTTTCTATAGGATCTCTTAGCCTGCACTCCATCCTTCTTCTTTCTAATCTCGAAATCATTCTTATCTTTTGCGCCCTTGTCTTCCTCCGATTCAGAGCTACTACTTGTGCTTGCATCTCGCTTCCTGTTGGAATCGAGATTATCCTTTCTCTTATCGGGCGATTTCGAGCGGGACTTCGACGATCTGGAGTCGCTCGAATCAGACCTTGACTTTCTAGACTTACTTCGGTCGTTGCTCTTGGATCTTGATTTTTTAGATCGTGAACGAGACCTTGAGCGCGATCTTGGCGACTTGGATTTCGTGCGTCTCGATTTAGAACGGTCCTGCGACCTAGACTTCGATCTTCTGGATTTTGATCTAGACCTGGATCGCCTAGATCTTGATTTCGAACGAGATCGCCTTGATTTGGATGTGAGCGATCTAGACCGCCGGGTCTTCGAGTCGCGACTCGGTGATTTCGATCGGGACTTTTTGGAGCGATTTACTGGAGACTTGGATCTTGATCTGGATTTTTTGGCTTTCTCCAGTGCTTCCGGTGACGGAGTGCGATTGTTCTTCTTCTTTCCATCAGCGATGCTCATTAGTTTCGCTTGCAATCGGGATATCGCGACAGCAGCTTCCCTGTTGGCATACCTTGATATATGATCTTTAATTATGCAGTGCAGCTAATCACGGATACTTACGGTTTAGTCTTCACAGGCATTAGTGGTATAGCATTTTCAGGCTGAGGTGAATCCTCGCGTTCAATTTTTACTTCCGGCATTTCCTTTCCGTTGTCTTTCACAGAATTCTTGCTCGGTGACCTGGAGGACGATCGTCGCTTGCGACTTGATCTATCGCGATCTCTATGTCGATCTCTCGATCGACTTCGTTTGCTTCTACAAACAATAATGCAAGTTTACAAAACATTACCTACTAACGATTACGTCATAAGGTTTAGCTATCTATACTCCTACCTATCTCTGTCACGGTCTCTGCTTCTATCTCTTCTTCGCTCCTTCGACGAGCCACGTTCTTTGTCCTCTTTCTTTATCTTATTCTCTGCTTCATCTTTCTCCTTTTCCCTTTCTTTCTCCTTCTCCTTCTCTGCCAACGAAGCTTGCAGTTTCTCTTGCTCCTCCTAATTCGATGCGTTCAAGTGTTAGAATAAAAATAACAATACTTGTTTCTATCAGTATGAAACATGAAAAACCTAAACTGAACCGCGTGCGTCAAAAAACATTCAACTGAATGTACTTACTGAATACTAAAATTCAGCAGTTCAATTGTTCAACTACTCGCAGACTAGTTCACGCGACAAAAGCTTAAAAAAAAATGTGATAACGAAAATTGTTGATAATCACCAAACGTTTTTTAATCTGATCTTTTTTCTGTTGCAAGAAAGCCTCTGGAATGCCCGTCACGCTTTCCTGAGCGGAGACCAAAAGGTCCCATAATTCACCCATAAAAGACCGGGCATTTCTGCCATTCAGGAAGCCTGTTAGGTTGATCTGCATTTTTCGGGGATCCGGGAACTGTAAAATACATAGTAGACCAGTGTCATCTATTGCCATTTTGAACAACTAAACAAATGGACGTGTTTGATTCTAGTGAAATGCAATAGAATGTCGCAATTGATCATCCGTTAACAGTGTGTCCACCTCCCTATGTTGCTACTAACTGCTTTTCCCCCTCGAATCTTACCGCCAACAGTGAACTCCTTGTTTCACGTCTGCGCTAACAACTGATACGTTAAGAAAAAAAAGGCATTACTCCGATCGATAAACGCACAAATAGCACAGATATATTGATACCTTCTCAACTTCAAAAATACCCTGCCGAGGGCAGAGACGCTGAAATGCATAATTACATGTTAGCTGAAAAGTGAAAGAATTAATAGAGAAGGAACACCGTTCCACCAACCTGTGACGTTGACAAAGAGTGTCAAACCGAGTAGAGATACCTCCGGCGTGGTCCATGATTGAGTCGCGTCTAGGATTGAAAGACCTGCAATTCCTGGATTCTTCAGACCCTTATGGATGGTACGAAGATTGATGAAATCTGCATCCAGGATGATCCGGCTGCAGTGAGATCCTTGCGAGGTGACCAGACATCCTGTCCAGGCACAGGATGATTCCTCGGTGCTATAGCTTGGACTGCGTACAGCCAGTCGATGGTTGAAAGCTATGTCACAGCTTTCGCAGGTGTAGCCTCGGCAGGTAATCACCTTGAGGGAGGTAGCCACAAAGGTGGCAGTTGATGCAGCTAGTAGACGTTGCGATTACAGCAAGGCAGACATCTGCAGAATGGTAGAAGACCTCGGGCAGAGCTCCGTTTAAGGACGAGATGAACAGCACTGGCTCGATGACGATGAGATCATTGCGACCACGCCGGTGACGATGAACGAAGCTGACGAACTGCTGAGGCTGAAGTTTCAGCAGTGGTTCTAAGACGACGTTGATATACCAGCTCGCCTCGGCTAGCGTTGGACGGCTGATAGAAAGGCGGCCAATCGGATGTAGAGAGGAGCACATCCGAATGCCATTTGGACAATAGGGTTGAGCCCCACCAACGGTCTCTACTTATACTAACGGGGAATTCAAACATACGTGATAAGAACTTGCTTGTACATGGTCGCTGTGTTGCAGGATCAGCTACATCAGAGTTTTCTTTTTTTTTTTTTTGTTGATATAGGATCATTGCTTGGACATGGACATGGTTTTGGATAAATAAAAACGGAATACACAGGACATATACAGGAACGATGATACTCTTTTTTTTTTCTTATCAGAATTTAAGAAACAAAAAACAATGAGGCAAGCATGACTAATATGGTAATTCTGCCTCCTTGCTTTTCACCTCCAAAATTAGCACTGTGTGCAGATTTTGGATGATTGTGGATTTTGTAACTGGTACAAAACTTTGTGCTGAAATAATGTGTATTTATCGATTTCCTATGATGAGGGGAAAAAGCCAAGTGAACGCATTTCATATTTCGTTTAGTTCAATCTACCTTATAGTTCGGTCTAAATCTACAGAAAAACTGAAGTGATTCAAGTTCCTTACCTTTTCTTCCAGCTGATTATATACAAATTCTACCACTACATCGTCCTCCATGCCCAGAATCTGAGTGATCTTCGTTGTAATCCATGGTTTGATCACATCGAGCTTAACTTTGCTCATGTCCACCTAGGAAGAGAATGCATATGGTACAGCTTCCATTTTCAATGTATAGTGCCAAACCGATCACCTTAATTATTGAAATATTAAAATTAGAGTGGGCAATGAATATATACCTTCTGTGTCAGAGAATCACCAAACTTCATTTGTTTTAGAAGCTTCTTCTCCTTGTCGCTGAACCTCGTGTCCTGCGACGCCGTAGTCCCCTAAATTCCGAAAATATCAAGTTAACAAAACATCGAATCTTACCGTATTCTAATGAAGACTTTAAACGGATGTAAAGCAATCAAAAATCGTATCGCGTTCTTGTATAAAAATTAGCTAATTTACCGTGTACATCATCTTGGCAACGTGTAGAAACCAACAACTGCACGATATTGGATGCCCGTAGCTGGCGGCGTTCCAATCCTCCTCTTGAACGTCGAATAGAGAAGGGCTGCTTTTACGAATACGTACTTACTCGTAACAGATCTTATTCTCCATGAAACGACTACACAAATGCATATATACAAATATCAAACGATAGTACTAAGCGTAGAGACGCGAAGACACGATAGATCAATTCGCCAACATGGCGGCCCGTCGTTAAATGAGCGAACTGAAGTTGGTTAACAATGCGCATGACAGCCATCTTCGACAGTGCTGCCTAATTTTAGCCAGCGTCTACATGTAGCTTTAAAAATAGCGGCAATTCCAATCAAGTAAATTTTATAATTATTAATATTTACAGAATTTAAAGAGCAATCCTTAAAAAATAGATATTTTCGTTACTGACAAATCCTTAATCATAACATAAGTTGTAAGTATAGAGCAAGATGACATTTCAATTTATTTTGTAAAAATTAGTAAATTATTGTTATTAAATATACAGGGCGTTCGATTTTAATCTGTAAATGAAAATAACTCGTTAATTGTGCATTGCATAAAAAATGTTTCCCATAGAAATTAAATGCTTTGGTGGCGTCATCTGTCGAAATGAGAAGGATTAAATCAGTTCAAACCTTGGGCATTTTGCCACGGATGGCGCTACGAATAATATGAAAATTTTTAAATATCTCCTTCTTTGAATATTTCATTATCTATTCGTGCTAGATCGTTCTTGTTACTCGAAATAAATATTAGGACGTTAAACGACACGTAGAATACTTCATTACTGCAGCTCAGCTAGACTTTATATGCATTTTCCTAGCACTACAGGTTCCCATTCATGAAGAATAAATTATTTTTTAATAATTGCCGGTAGATTCTCTTCTCAGAGTTCACGGTGTGCACAGCCAGGAGACTGCGGATTATTCTAAAATAATTAATAACGAAGAACTAAGCCGAAACAATTAGGCTCTGCGAGTGTAAATCCGCGTACGCACTGCGTATTCACATCGTAGACATCATTTGCACATAATCCCTTTGGATACCGTTAGATGCTGAAAATAGACGCAAATGAGCCTGTTTGTATTCGCTGCATTCGATGTGATCGCATGTCAAAGTGCAGTGAAGCACCGCGGCGACCAGCGACGCAACTTCGACGGGGGTGGTTCGGAGGAATAAAGTATAAATTGCAGCAGCAGCTTCTCACAATACATCGTAATCTAATAATAAATTATAAATACATGTTTGCACATTACAGCTATAGATACAAAAGATGACATGCGGTATGGAAGTATCGTTCGTTTTATGCTTTTCTGTTCAATGGGCAAAAACCACGGCGCGTCCCGCGCGTTGAACTCACCGCGCGCGGACACATCGTTCCAAGCGCTCCTCAGCGTTTCGTCGACGCACCCGGTCATCGAGAAACCGTCTCGCGACGGTTTCCTTACAACCTATTCTCATTCTTCGAGCCGTGTGTCGTCTGCCCAGCACGTGGAAAAGTGACTCCGATGCGCTCGGGCCGTTTCTCTTGTTATCACTTTCTCGGTAACGGCACTGGCACAGAACATCCACGCGCGAATTCCCATCGCCCTCCCCATCCCCGACCATAGTACCGATCTGCGTACTTGTCAACCGGTATTCCGTCAATCTCGTCCGGTGGCCTACAGTCGTGCTGTGCTTTCTCGAGAAGATAATTAACGGGCAAAAATTTAGCGAATGCTCGAGACCGGTAGAGAAAACGACGCTTTCTATGCAGACGCGCGCTTAACGATCACCGAGAGCCAGCGGTACGGTTAGGATCGCCCCATAAATCATAGATCCTCGATTCGAAAAAAAAAAAGGAACAAGCTCGCGAACGGTTGTTCGCGATAAGTGGCGCGGACAGGCGGCATGAATGAGCGGGAAACGCGCGAGCCGGCGCCGCTTTTGGGGCGCCGCGCTGAAAGGATCTCGTCTATGAAATCACCGAGCGAAGTAAATCGAGGTGAAGGGTCCCGCAAAGCGGCTAACGGTACATTATACTCATCGGAATTCATGGTACGGTCCATTCGTACTACGACTGCACGTCCATCCTGTTCGTCGCGTCGCTACGATTCCGACATCGAGTCCTTCGGGGTCCGGTTCCGAGAACCATAAGCGGGCCAGTCGAGTCACTCGATCGTCGGTGAAACAAGAACGATCCACCGGCGAGCAGACGGGAGCAGGGTGTCTCGTTTTTTTTTCACACCGATGCTTCGCCGTTCGACCAAGCCCGGCTTATCGATCTCGGCATTCTTAGACGTCGATTAGCCGTGACGAAAATGCATACCGATATGGGCGCGCTACAAAGCGAAATGAACGTTCGTTGAATTCGTATGTTTCCTCGAGACGATTCCTCGCCGGACGCGTCGGCGAACGACGACGCGTGTCCGTTGACTCCGAGACACAGTTCCGAGATTGGTCACACGCGACTTTCTAGGACGAAAGAGTATCAAAACGTCTGAATCATCGACGCGAGGGGTCAAAGACACGTTTCGTTTCTACGAGAACAACCGGACATTCCGTGACGCCTGCGGCATTCGAGTAGAGGACGTTCCGTTCCCGAAGATGTTTGTTTGCCAGGGTATGCGGAGTGGAATGAGCCGAGGTAACGGCCGAATAAAATATGAACCGGAGATAGCATCACGGTGCTAAGCGGTTCGAGAATCGGAGAAGGCATTAACAGGGTTTCCGGCTCGTTACGGTCCAGTCGAGGGGAATGATATAACTTTATGACTCTCCTGGAAAGAATAACCGCCAGCCGGTGCTGCCCGCGGAACGTTGTTACGAAGCGGTCTGTACCACCTGCTCGAAACCGGCTCGCGGAGCCAGGTCTAGTGAACTCGATCGAATTCCGAGACCGGATTCCGCGAAACGACCGCCATCGCGCACTGCTCCGATTCGTTTTTTCGCCGTGAAATAACTTCTTCGAACTCTGTTTCGGGGGTCGACTCCCACAGCCCGTCGTAAATCGAGGAGGGCAGAGCGACGAGAGGCGTCGCCTTTCGGCCGTGAACCGCTGATTTCTTTTTTTTTTGTCGTTTGAATAGTGCGCAGATCGGCGAGTGTCCAGAGATACGCGAAGATCGTCGTCGTCGCGAGTCTTCCGGACGGAAGTGGATCTTCCGCGATGGCGGGTCGCCGGGAGCATGATCTCCGGCAAATCGTGTCACCCTGGACCAAAAAAGGGAGGTCGTTCGATCCAAGGTAAAAGTGGCCCCTGCCTCCGTTCGGTCGCGGAAGGAAAGCAGCGTACTCGGAGCCAGAAGAGGAGTCTTCGATTTTCTCGATCTCTCCCGAGAAATCATTCTCTATCAGCTTAAGTACTGGTCTCTCTCGGCGGTCGAGCTGGCTCCAAAGAGGTTACTAGGTCCCTCGGCGAGGTTGTCGGAGCTCGGGGTCACCAGCCACCGATTCATCGCAGTCCGAAGCGGTCCGAGGCGGCGCGAGCCGACTCGTCCCGCGGCGATCGAGAGATCTTTCCGCTCCTGAGGATCTTTATGTCTCGATGCCGGCCACCTCGAGTTCGACGAACGTTTAAAAGCTTGGGACGGCCGGAGGCTCCGACGTGGCGCTCGCCGAATTCCTCGGCTTGCAGACGCAACCGCTCTCGACCAGAACGTAATCTTGACCGGTCAGGGTCACCGGTCCCAGCGGTATCACCAGAAACAGGTAAGGCACGTAGGTCTGCGTGCACTCGCCGTGGACCACGTCGCACTCTTTCGACCTGAAACACAGCGAGGCGACGAGTCGCTGATCAATTCCATCGATCGGCATCGGTTTTCTCTGCCAGCGTTCCGGACAGCTCCACAAATCCAGAAACAAAAAAGATGCCTTAGAAACATCTTAAAAAATCGCGATTAATTATGATTGAAGTCGACGCTACAATTGCTTCTGAGAATTGCTATCCATTAATTTAAAAGGATCCAGAGTCAAGGGTCTCAAATGTGTTAACGCGAGGCTTCCTGCGGCGGCGATCGCGCGAGCACAGACGGGCCCAAAAAAGTTCCAGAAGTAGGCCCGCTCGCGGTCACGAACGCGGTCTCGTAGACCTGTTCGGCCCACTGTGCCACATCCGAATCGCCTCGCCATTAGAGCCCGATGAATTTCAATTCGACGCGGACGATTCGATTCACGGTACGCGACACGACGTGCCAAGAAAGTAACAGTGGATAATGTTCGGCCGCGGATTTCACCGGAACACGGATCGCGAGAGGATTTAACGGGTGAAATTATGTCGACGGCTACTTACTCGCAGACCTCGAACACGACCTGCTGCAGCAGATCGGGGAACTTCTGGACGATGGTCACCGGCTGGCCGCTGGTCAGGCTGACCCCGTACATGGGGGCCGTGGTGTTGTACCTCGTTTTGCATAATCTGGCCGGAGAGCCGCAGGACTCTTTCGAAGAAAACGCTCGTCCTGCAGGCAGAAGATTATTGATCCCTGTTAAATGACGTCGTGGACTGTGAGCTCCTGTTACGATCAACGTTTTCTAGCCGTTACAGTGTCATCTGTTTGGTGTTATGAATTCTAGAGATTCAAAATCTAGATATGGTATCTATATTTATTTATTTATTTATTTATTTATTTATTTATTTATTTATTTATTTAATCCTTGCCGAATAGCTTTAGAATGACTTTCAGTTTATACGTTTATCTGTCCACATTACACATATACATATTTTCTTACAGTAAGAACAAATGGTCTAACAATATTATTTAATCTACTCTAATGATTTAATAATCCAACAAATGGTCTAACAATCTTATTTAATCTATTCTAATGATTTAATAATCCAGCAAACGGTCTAACAATCTTATTTAATCTACTCTAATGATTTAATAATCCAGCAAATGGTCTAACAATTTTATTTAATCTACTCTAATGATTTAATAATCCA